CCCGTCTATGGCCTGCATATGTTGGAGGGAATTTCCTGCTCACTGTAGAAGCAGCTTTTACAGCAGCTGTGTGGGCAATTCCACCCCCTTCCTGCCCAGGACAGCTTTCAGCGCTGTCGCACTTTGAATGACAATTGTGCGGTCGTGCAACACTGTACTCATGACATTTTTATCATTTATTTAATCACCACTGGGGGGGGGGGGTATATTTCGCTAAGCAAAAGAAAATGAGACCTAAAAATTTAAAAAAATAACATTATCTTAGTTTCTGTTATAACATTTTGTAAAGAAGTAATTTTTCTCCTTCACTGATGAGGAGGTACTGATGGGCACTGATGGGCGGCATTGATGGGCACTGAAAGGTAGCACTGATGGGCATTGATGAGGAAGCACTGATGGGCATTGACAGGCCTCACTGATATTCAGCACTGATGGACACTGAATGGCAGCACTGATGGGTACTGAAAATCGGTATTGATGGGCACTGATAAGGTGCACTGATGGGCACTGATAGGCGGCATTGATGGGCACTGAATGGCAGCACTGATGGGCACTGAAAAGCGGTATTGATGGAGACTGACAGGCATCACTGATGGGCACTGAATGGCAGCACCAATGGGCACTGATAGCAGTGATGAGGAAGCACTGACAGGCGGCACTGATGGGCATTGACAGGCCTCACTGATAGGCAGCACCGATGGGCACTGATAGGTGGCATTGATGGCCACTGAATGGCAGTACTGATGGGTACTGAAAAGCGGAATTGATGGGCACTGATAAGGTGCACTGATGGGCACTGATAGGCGGCATTGATGGGCACTGAATGGCAGCACTGATGGGCACTGAAAAGCAGTTTTGATGGAGACTGACAGGCATCACTGATGGGCACTGAATGGCAGCACCAATGGGCACTGATAGACAGCAGTGATGAGGAAGCACTGACAGGCGGCACTGATGGGCATTGACAGGCCTCACTGATAGGCGGCACTGATGGGCACTGATAGGTGGCATTGATGGGCACTGAATGGCAGCACTGATGGGCACTGATATGTGGCACTTATGGGCACTGATAGGCGGCATTGATTGGCACTAAATGGCAGCGCTGATGGGCACTGATAGGCGGCATTGATGGGCACTGAATGGCAGCACTAATGGGCACTAAAAAGCAGTATTGATGGGCACTGACAGGTATCACTGATGGGCACTGACTGGCAGCACCGATGGGCACTGATAGACAGCACCGATGAGGAAACACTGATAGGCGGCACTGATGGGCATTGATAGGCCTCACTGATGGGCATTGACAGGCCTTACTGTTGGGCACTGATAGGCAGCACTGATGGCTACTGATAGGCAACACTGATGAGGCGGCACTGACAGGCATCACTGATGTGCACTGAATGGCAGCACTGATGGACACTGATAGGTGGCATTGATGGGCACTGACAGGCATCACTGATGGGCACTGATATGTGGCACTTATGGGCTCTGATAGGCAGCATTGATGGGCACTGTATGGCAGCACTGATGAGCACTGACAGGCATCACTGATATGTGGCACTGATGGGCACTGATAGGTGGCATTGATGGGCACTGAATGGCAGCACTGATGGACACTGAATGGGAGCACCGATGGGCACTGATAGGTGTCATTGATGGGCACTGACAGGCATCACTGATGGGCACTGAATGGCAGCACTGATGGGCACTGATAGGTGGCATTGATGGCACTAACAGCACTGATGGGCACTGATAGGCAGCACTGATGGGTACTGATAGACAGCACTGATGAGGAAGCACTGATAGCCTGCACTGACAGGCAGCACTGATGGGCACTGATAAAAAGACTGATGAGGAAGCACTGATAGGCAGCACTGATGGGCATTGACAGGCCTCACTGATGGGCACTGATAGGCAGCACTGATGGGTACTGATAGACAGCTTTGATGAGGCACTGATGGGCATTGACAGGCCTCACTGACAGGCACTGATTGGCAGTTCTGATGAGGAGGCACTGATAGGCATTGACAGGCATCACTAATGGGCAATGATAGGCAGCATTGATGGGCACTGATATGTGGCACTGATGGGCACTGATATGTGGCACTGATGGGCACTGATAGATGGCATTGATGGGCACTGATGTGGTACTGATGGGCATTGATAGGCGACATTGATGGGCACTGAATAGCAGCACTGATGGGCACTGAATGGCAGCAACGATGGGCACTGAAAAGCGGCATTGATTGACACTGACAGGCATCACTGATGGGCACTGAATGGTAGCACTGATGGGCACTGATAGGTGGCATTGATGGGCACTGATATGATGCACTTATGAGCACTGATAGGCAACATTGATGGGCACTGTATGGCGGCACTGATGGGCACTGATAGGTGGCATTGATGGGCACTGAAAGGCAGCACTGATGGGCACTGAATGGGAGCACCGATGGGCACTGATAGGTGGCATTGATGGGCACTGACAGGCATCACTGATGGGCACTAAATGGCAGCACTGATGGGCACTGATAGACAGCACTGATGAGGAAGCACTGATAGCCGGCACTGATGGGCACTGACAGGCAGTACTGATGGGCACTGATAGACAGCACTGATGAGGAAGCACTGATAGGCGGCACTGATTGGCATTGACAGGCCTCACTGATGGGCACTGATAGTACTGATGAGGAGGCACTGATAGGTGGCAATGATGGGCATTGACAGGCATCACTAATGGTCACTGATAGGCAGCACTGATGGGTACTGATAGGCAGTACTGATGAGGAGGCACTGATACGGCTGCACTGATGATCAGTACCCTGTCACTGTGTAAGAATATGCAAAAGTGACACAGGGTTCGCACACATGCAGAGCGCAGGGCTCTGGAATATTGATTCTGAGTGAAGAAGACGGGTTTCTCCATTTTCTCTGGGTTTTGTAATTCTCAGATTGGGTTCCGGAGTTTGGAGGCTTCAAAGAGCTTTGGAAGAGATGAAAGTTCCAACCCAGAGTCCAGCCTTACCGGAGACCAGCATGGTGTGTATACAGCTGCACAGCCAATCACAGGCCTGCCCAAGGCTTGGGTCCCACCTTAAAGCCAGGGGGTCTCAGGCTGGGAGACAGGGGGGCTTCATACAGGTGGGAGGAGATTCCCTTAGGCTCCATTCACACTTATGGGTTCCCAAGTTGCATAACAAGTCACACCCCCCCCATGTTTCCCAATGGGTACCATTCATATCTGTGTGACTTCAAGTCGCAGCGACTTCAAAGTAGTTCCTGCACTACTTTGGTCCGACTTTCATGCCACTTGAGGACCATAGACTTCAATGTAAACCCTCCAAAGCCGCATGAAACTCGCACCTGGTTGTTGTACACGCGACTTGCATGCAACTTTGTACAGCAGAAACAATTATCTTTGGTCAAGGTCACACTCATCTAAAGTCGCATCAAAGTCATGCCGAAGTCACATTAAAGTCGCAGTGAAAATTGCACAATTTGGAAGTTGCACGAGTGTGAATGGCGCCTTATCGAGGGGCCAGGGTGTGGGCCCATGCAGCTGCAACTGTTGTACATGAGCACAGGTAGGCTGTTAGTCGGTCTGAGCCCGGGGTTCGCACTGATGCGGTATTCAAACCTATGCGATCTGATTGTGCACATTGCACCGCGTTTTGCGGACCGATTTTGGGGTGTTGTTAACCCCCCTGTCGGTATTCCCGAGTGTAGCTCGGGGTAAAGTTTCAGTACCACAAGCGGTAACCCCCCCGATCTACACTCAGGAATACACTGCAGCGTTGCTCCGGGATCTCTTCTTCACTTACCTTGTCCTGCGCTCCCGCGATGTCCCCCCTGCAGCGTCCCCAGCAATGTCCTCCGGCCGATGCCGGCATCCGTCTTCCGGGTTCCGTTCCCTGCGACGTCGGCACGTACGAGGGACGGAACTGGCGGGAAATTTGAAAATGACAAAAAGTGACATTCACTAAAATCACTAAAATCACATAGTATAACATTCCTGTATCAAACCATTTCACATACATTTTGTCCCGAGTGCTTTGTCCGGCGCCCTGCCTGCATTTTTACTGTTCTTTCTGCCTGGAAACTGAGAAACGTCCATGGTGTCCAAAAAGCGTCCCTTTAGGTCAAAAGCGGTTTTAGACCGGCTAGAGAACAGCGATAGTAAATCAGAACCACTTGCAGAATTGAGTGATAATGATTCGTGGGGGAAATTCCTCATCAGACACTGAAAACGATTCTGCGACTGAGCTCAGCGATGTGCGAACTTGGCGCTCTATTTCACATTTCAGTGTTTTTGGTTTGATTATATTATTGAATTAAATTTATTATTATTATATTATTATTTTTTTATGATTATTTATTAAATTATAATTTATGATTTCGTGTTTCACATTTTATCATACCCGGGATGTTTACTAGACTCTTGTCCGGACAGATTTCAGTGAGTTATTCCTAAAAATTACAGGCCTACAATAAAAAAACTACATATTTCCATGCAACAAAATGTACCGCTTTGAGCACAGAAATATGGACATAATCAGACCGCTAGGGAGGTTAATTGAACATACACACCCGCAGAGGTTTGCATGAATGGGGTGCGATTTTGATCCGGTGCGGAATTCGCACAGAAAACGCTGCAAATTCCTCACCGCATCGCAATCGCACAACACCCTGAAATTGATCGTATGATGTGCAGAATCGGATCACATAGGTGTGAATACCCATGCGATCCGATTCTAGTGAGGACCAAAAAAGGGTCCTGCATGTTTTTGGTGCAGGTGCAGTGCGATTAGAGACATACAAAATGTACGGCTCCGATCGCACCGCACACAAATCGCATGTGATTTGTACAGGAAGGCGGTGCGGTTCCTGTGCGAATCACATGCGATATGTTAGACCACACAAGTGTGATCCCGGGATAAAGGACCAAGGCAAAAGGCGGAGCTGCGGTGCTGCAAAGAGAAGGAGCCAGGAGGATTGGTATTATTTTATTCTGTTCTTGTTTTTGCTTTGAATGCTGTATGAAGCGGAATCTATTGTGCGGAAATTTTGACGTAAGAAACTTTATAAACCACACATTTTCTGCCACAAAATGTAAACAGTTCCAGTCAGGGGCGGACTGACAACTCATGGGGCCCCCGGGCAATAGGGGATCATGGGGCCCCTGTGTCCTTGCCCAAACTAAAAAAAGCCTATGAAAAAGGTACCAGGGGCATCTCATGGGGCCCCCTACTGACCCCGGGCCCTCGGGCAGTGCCTGAGTTTCCAAATGGTCAGTCTGCCCCTGGTTCCAGTCCGGACACTTTTATCCCCTTCCAGTCCAGGCCAATTTTCAGCTTTCAGTGCTGTCGCACTTTGACAATTGCGCGGTCATGCAACACTGTACCCACATGAAATTTTTTTTGGAGACACATAAAATTTTATTTTGATGGTATTTATTCACCCCTGGGATTTTTATTTTTTTGCTTCATAAATAATAAAAGACCACATTTTTTTTTTTAAAAACGTATTTTTCTTATAAAAATTTTGCAGATAAATAATCTTTCTTCATAGATCTTGGCCAAATGTATTCTGCTACTTTGTTTGTAAAAAAAAAAAAATAATAACCCAAATCAGTTTATAAAAAAATTATTATAATTTTTCAATTATACATTTTAATTTTTATATTATTATTTCTGTTTTGTTTTTTACATACTGTCACCCTAGCAGTACAGTGTCACCATAGTGACACTTTTTTTTGTACACTGATTGCTTGTATTCAGCTATCCTTCTGGTACAAAAAAAAATAACCCAAAATCAGATTATTAAAAAAAAAAAAAAAAAAAACTATTTTTTTTTTTTAAAATGTTTTTACATTTTTTATTTTATTTTTTTATTATTATCTATGGTTTTTTTTTTTTTTTTTTTTTTACATACTGTCACCCTAGCAGCACAGTGTCACCATAGTGACACTTTTTTTTTGTACACTAATTGCTTGTATTCAGCTATCTTTCTGGTACAAAAAAAAATAACCCAAAATCTGATTATTTAAAAAAAAAAAAAAAAAAAAATATATATATATATATATATATATATATATATATATATATATAATTAAAAAAAATGTTTTTTACATTTTTTTTTTTTTTTTTATTATCTATTTTTTTTTTTTTTTTTTTTTTTTTTTACATACTGTCACCCTAGCAGTACAGTGTCACCATAGTTTTTTTTTTTTGTACACTGATTGCTTGTATTCAGCTATCTTTCTGGTACAAAAAAAAATAACCCAAAATCAGATTATTTAAAAAAAAAAAATATATATATATATATATATATATATAATTTTTTTTTTTTTTTTTTTATTTTTTTTTTTTTTTATTATCTATGGGTTTTTTTTTTTTTTTTTTACATACTGTCACCCTAGCAGTACAGTGTCACCATAGTGACACTTTTTTTTGTACACTGATTGCTTGTATTCAGCTATCTTTCTTACAAAAAAAATAACCCAAAATCAGATTATTTTTTTTTTTTTATATATATTTTTTTTTTTTTTTTTTTACATTTTTTTTTTTTTTTTTATTATTATCTATGGTTTTTTTTTTTTTTTTTTTTTTTTTTTTTTTTTTTTTTTTTTACATGTGTTTTTATTTTTTTTTTTTTTTTTTTTTTTTTTTTGATTGCTTTTTTTTTTTTATTTTCTTTTTTTTTTTTTTAACCCAAAATTTTTATTTTTTTTTTTTTTTTATATTTTTATTTTTAGAGGATTTTTTTAAAAAAATTTTTTACATTTTTTTTTTTATTTTTCTTTTTTTATTTTTTATTTTTTTTTTTTTTTTTTTTACATTTTGTTTTTTTAGCAGTACAGTGTCACCATAGTGCGGCCATACGGCCAAAATTTTAATATTTTAAATTTAGGTCAATATTTTTTTTTTTTTTATTTTTAAAAAATATTTTTTAAAATATTTTTTTCTTCCATGTTTTTTGTTTTTTTTTTTTTTTTTTTTTTTTTTTATCTTGGACACACCGGAAAGTGCTTTTTTTTTTTTTTTTTTTTTTTTAAAATTTTACCATATTTTTTTTTTTTTTTTTTTTTTTTGACAAACATTTATTAAGAATTTTTTTTTTTTTTTTTGACTTTTTTTTTTGAAAACAGTGCGCATGGAGCCAGAGGACAATTGGTTTTTTGCTATGTTTTGTGATTTTTTTTTTTTTTTTTTTTAACCCACATTTTTTTTTAAATATATTTTTTTTATATTTTAAAAATATTCCTTTTTTTTTTATTTTTTTATATTTGAAAATTTACCATTTTTTTTTTTTTTTTTTTTTTTTTTATTTTTTTTTTTTTTTTTTTTTGAATTTTTTCGCCATGTAACAAGACACAGATGATTTTATTTTTTTTATTTTTTTTTTTTTTTTTTTTTTTTTTTTTTTAATTTTTTTTATACATTTTTTTTTTTTTTATATTTTCAATATTTTTTAAATTTTTAAAATTAAAAAAAAAAACTGTATGTTGAAATGCGTTTTTTTTTATAAAAAATATTAAAAATACATCTTCAAATATACTGAATGTTTTTAAAAATACAAATCTTTTTTTTTTTGGACTGTGTTTACAAATATATGTAAAAATATATGTTAAAATTACTTTTTTTTATATGTTAAAAAAAAATCTGAAAAAAATATATTTAAAAATATATAATTTTAAAATATATATTTTTTTAAATATATTCTTCAGATTTTTTTTATGGGTAAACTATGTAACTAAAGGTATACAGTTATATTCTGTTTCTGGATTTTGTTTTCGGACTTTCCCCGCCATGTAACAAGACACAGATGATTTCTATTGATGTATGTTGAAAATACTGCATGTTTTGAAATGTTTTTCAGTACAAAAATATATTTTTTTTATTTTTAAAAATAAATTTTCAAATATACTGTATGTTTTTTTAAAAATACAAATCTTTTTTTTTGGAATGCATTTACAAATATATGTAAAAAATATATGTTTTTTTTTTTTTTTTTATATGTTAATAAAAAATCTAAAGAATATATTTAAAAATATACATTTTTAAAAATATATATATTTTTAAAATATATTCTTCAGATTTTTTTTTTATGGGTATCTATGTATTCTATATTCTGTATCTGGTTTTATTTTTGGTTTCTGACTTTCCTCGCCATGGAACAAGACGCAGATGATGTTCTATTGATGTTCACCGATGACGGCCGTAACACGGCTGATATTAAATAGGTTTTCCTGGATGTCAAAGTTTACATAAGCGGCCTTTTTGGTCTAATTGTAGCTCTCTACGTAATGCAACGTGAGCCAGAGAAGCAGAAACCACGGGGTAATTAGAATAGCGCACTGCTCCGCCATAATTAATGCGCTGCTCCATATAACCCGTAAAGGACATGATATCCCTGTGCTGGAAACATGAAGAAATGATGAACAATTAACCACTTCCAGTCCGGACACTTCCACCCCCTTCCTGCCCAGACCAGTTCTCAGCTTTCAGTGCTATCACACTTTGAATGACAAAAAAACGTGGGAATGGGTTGAGGTGGCCGGAAGCCGCGTGGACCGGTCATGCTCCTAGAACACCATGGGAATGGGTTGAGGTGGTCGGAAGCCGCGTGAACCGGTCATGCTCCTAGAACACCATGGGAATAAGTTGAGGTTTCGGAAGCCGCGTGGACCGGTCATGCTCCTAGAACACCATGGGAATGGGTTGAGGTGGTCGGAAGCCGCGTGGACTGGTCATGCTCCTAGAACACCATGGGAATGGGTTGAGGTGGTCGAAAGCAGTGTGGACTGATCATGCTCCTAGAACACCATGGGAATGGGTTGAGGTGGTCGGAAGCAGCGTGGACCGGTCATGCTCCTAGAACACCATGGGAATGGGTTGAGGTGGTCGAAAGCCGCGTGGACTGGTCATGCTCCTAGAACACCATGGGAATGGGTTGAGGTGGTCGAAAGTTGTGGACTGATCATGCTCCTAGAACACCATGGGAATGGGTTGAGGTGGTCGGAAGTCGCGTGGAACCGGTCACGCTCATAGAACACCATGGGAATGGATTGAGGTGGTCGGAAGCCGAGTGAACGGTCACGCTCCTAGAGCACCATGAGAAAGGGGCTGAGGTGGTCAAAAGCCATGTGGACTGGTCACGCTCCTAGAACACCAAGGGAATGGGCTGAAGTGTTCAGAAGCCGTGTGGAACGGTCACGCTCCTAGAACACCATAGGAATGGGTTGAGGTGGTCGGAAGCCGCGTGGACCGGTCACGCTCCTAGAACACCATGGGAATGGGTTGAGGTGGTCAGAAGCCGTGTAGACCAAGAAGAGAGCACATGAACCAGCAGGTCAGGAAAGGGTCAGGAAAGGGGGGGGTGGAGACGAGCGAGTGCCCCGCTCCTCCTGAACCATACCAGGGTACATGCCCTCAACATGGGGGGGTTCTTTGGGGCAGGGGGGCTACCCCCAAAAACACCTTGTCCCCATGACAAGGGCCTCTTCCCCACAACCCTGGCCGGTGGTTGTGGAGATCTGCGGGCAGGGGGGCTAATCAGAATTTAACAAGGGGGCCCCCAGATCCCCCCCCATGTGAATGACTATGGTACCACTACTCGTTTCACACACAAAAAAAAGAGTAAAAATGACAGTAGACAGTCAAAAAGTTAAAAAGTTAATAATAAAAATAATTATTATAAAAAAAATGAAAAAAAATATGAATATTAAAGTAATAAAACATGATATTTAAACATAATAAATAATTATTTAAAAAAAAAAGTTAATGAAATATAATTATTAAAAAGAAATAATACAATTTAATAAATAAAAGCATTAAATGAAAAACAATTAAAAAAATTCTAATAATAAAAATACCTACAAACAATTATTAATTTCAATTATTATAAAAAATAATAAAATATAATGCTTAAAACTTAATAAACATATCATAATAAAATTACTTATAAAACAAAAAAAAAATCATTAATAAAATATACTTATTAAAAATAAATAATGCAATTTAATAAATAATAAATGAAAAACCATTGCAGGTG